TTATAGTCACTAGGAAAGATGGGAACTTCATTCCATTAGACTTGTTCATTTTCAGAATTTAATGACTTGGGAAATTCGTGCCTGGTGGCTGAGTTATTATCATTGCTTCTGTTTGCTGTGACCAGTTTGGCATATCAGTGATTATTATTTGTGTGGTAATTTGATGTCGTAACCCAAGCCTATTTTGTACAAGTAATGAACATCCATCTGGACTCTAGAGGGCGCTTTCTACATGTAGGCTTTCACAGACTGAAAAGCGAATTTTTGTTTCGTTTTTAAAATAACATTTTCTTATAAATATTGTGATATTAACCATACATGCATGTGTAAGCATTTGCCATCTTTTAGACCAAGTGGGAGGTAAACCAATTGAGTCTGTGACACACTCGCCGAGGGTAGGGATGGACCCATTGCTTCTGTGGCACACTCACCCAGGATAAGGAAAGACCCATTAACTCTAGGTATATTAATATTTGAACTCAAAACCTTACTGATCAAGTCTCTGATTCAACATTCTTGAAAATTCTGTCATAATAACTAAGTTAATTTATGTTTGCATTTAATAATTATATCGGCTTTATGTATAATACATATTATGTGTTAAATTATTTTGTAATATTTTTCTGTTACATGAACTCAAATTGTATTTATTACAGGGCCCTATGGAAATCATTGTTTTGTTGTACGAAAGCCTTCTCTATTTTGATAAATATATTTCGCAAATGCTTTTATTATCTCTTGACCAAACCAAATCAGTATGAAATGTTTTGTAGTAATATTTCCGAGTAATATATTACAGCAATCAAACAAATTAAAATGGATACCCATTTCCATGGCAACAATGTCTTGCGATACCCTGTATTGTATATTTCTCTATCAGATGGCCATTTTGAATATTGAATATGAACTAATTGTAGTTTCTGTTTAAAGTTAATAAATTTTTACTCCGCCTGTGATAAGTATGTTGTAAAATGTTTGCGGTAACATCCAACTTCTTTGAGTTGATCATTTGTCTGCATCACAGGAAGGCTTTCTCGCGAATGCATGAATCATACCAAATGAAATATTCAGCGTGAGTAGACGACAGCTGCAGTGATGAGGACAGTTCATGACAATTAATTTTTTAGCTTCTTTGATGTGCACTACTTAGACCATATTGATCTGACCTTCCACGTAACAAGCATCAAGCAAGGGAAACTTTCTGCCAAGTCGTACAAATAGTTGCTCTTTGATTAGCGTTTACGTGATGGAGAACGTGCGGTTGACGGAAAGAAATCTGCATCTTTTTATTTTTATTTTTAGAGCTTATCGAATAAATTACTGTCTCTAATCTGTTCAGGAGACAGCTTGATCCACTAGGACTAGATAATTGCTTTGTTTCTTATTTTGTGACAAAGAATGTGAATTCTTTCTGACTTTGGCCCGTAAAGTCTCTGCATCTGTTAAATGATGTCAACTTAGAGGCCAAATTTAGGTTATTAATGTTAGTTGGCTTACTGAGTAAAACAAAATTTGATGTTCAACGTTTAGGATAGTATTTTTGCTGTCATTGTTGTCATATTTGTTATGATCATGATGAGTATTAGAGTTTTAGTACCATTGATTTCCACGTCCAAATAGGGTGTATACTGCCTAAACACTATAATCCTCTGAG